ATACGTAAAGAAACGGATTTGCATATATTACATATATCGTAATTTGCGCAGATTTATTATTATTTGTAAATATGACAATATCTGTGTTATCAAGGGAAAGCGTTATGATACTGTTACGATTTTGGTAGACCCGTTCAAAATTGCGAGTTTCGTAATCTGAATTACGGATATGCGATGAGCGACCGCATCGAGACGATGACAATCGAATGCGAAATACAGCAACGATTGTCTCATGGCGTGAATGTGATTTTAGCCGATAATGAACGTATACGCTAGCTGCATATCTTAAGGAGATGATAAAAACACTATCTGAACGACAATCATATATATTTTCTGGGTCTTTTTAAATTTTACAACTAATACAGTTATTAGAAGATACTAAGTGTTATTATTAAAATGCTTATTATTATCAGTACGAATTTCAAATGATAAAATCTGATGGATTTTAATTAAAAAGTGTTTCTAAAGATAACCGAGTTGTATTCAAATAAAATATAAAATCACAATCTTGTTATGATTTTATGTTCCATGTAAATAAAGAGCCATCATGTATTCAATATTTTCAAAAGTATTGATTTTAAGAAAATTGATCGAAGAATCTGTGTTCAAGAAATTGATATAAACTTGAACTATCAAGTTAAAATAAATAGATGTAAATTAGAATCCAAATAATATGTTTTTTATTAAATTACTTAAAGATAAATAATTAATAATCCTAAGTGTAGATGTCAACTTTTTTTGTATTTATATAACTGAATGAAGATCAAATTATCAGAAATTCTTTTTATAATTGCAAAGCTGGAAAGGAAAAATATACAAACACATTGCATTTTTTTTTATAAATATTAAAAACAGGAAATTTTATAAATATTAAAAACTGATAAATTAATTAATATGGAACACAAATCAGTCTGAATGCTATTAATCTTCATTGATCGAATTAATTTTAATGTAATACCAAAAATAACTACTTATTCTAAAATTTAAATGATTCACTAGCCGAATTCATTTTCTTGTTTAAATTCTCATTTCTTACTGGAAAATGATAAAAATTAAGTTCAGGAATTTTTTACTCACCGTTCTTGCAATTAGGAACATGACACTTTCAAGTAGGATAATTTACTTTTTTTGTACAAAAATGTTAATTAACAAATTATTATACTTTAACAGTCAAATTTTCGGACCCAAAAGTTGCCCAAATATATATATATAACTATAGGTAGCACTGCCTGAGGTATGCAGCTAGCATATAAGGAAACAATATGATGTGCGATGTTACGCGATATAAACGCCAATCGTCGAAAATAAAAAGGAAAAAAAATAATAAATGCAGTACATTGTTCGCGAAGCACATTATTGTTTTGTCCTTAACAATATTCTTTGTGGACCACGTCGCCGATTATGTGTAGCCTTAAATAACGAAAGTGAAAATAGAGAACGTGTGGAATTCAAATTAGCGTAACGTAAACGAGAATACAAGGAGATCCAAAGTAATTGTTAACAAGGAGCTATAATTACTGTAGCTATTAATCAGAATTTTGCGATCCGTGGCTCAGTTGCACTAATTCAGCCATCTTCAATTTTGGTTTAGTTTGTTTCCTTCTAATACAGAAGAAGAAGAAGAAGCTAAAGATGAAGAAAAAGAAGAAGAAGAAGAAGAAGAAGTTAATAGCGAAACAATGTAAGATTCTAAAAATATGTCTGAAATATTAGAATTGAAACAATGTTTTTTTCTTCTCTTTATAAAGAATTGCATTAACATCAGAGATTAATCAGGATTGGTAATACGATTCTCTCAGCCTATATAATAATATTGACAGTAGAAAAACAGTTAAAAGTAGATGGTTATCCAACGATTCTATTAGTTTTGGAATTGAAAGTTATGCATTTCCAATAAGAGCATATGAAACGAGCATACGCGGCA